CCATTGGGGTGTGTAATAAGGCCTCCCTGATCATTTGAATAAAGGCTTTTGGAATCGCTCCGATCACAGCACAATATTCTCTACTAGTACATATTACACTGTATTTATGTCTAAACTCATCATAGTCCAGTATGTTAGCTCTGTCATCCACTAGATGTTGAATAGACCATATTCTTTGCTCCATTCATTTTTAAAAATAGAAAGACTTCTTCTTTATCAGAATACATCTATTGTTCCAAATTGGTGTGTTATGAGGGGGAAAATTATGTTTATAGATCAGTTTCCAATAATGGAGGACTTGATGGATGAAGTGTGTAGCTTACTAATTTCAGAATCACAAATCTCCAGTGGACAGCTGACCTGCTTGAGAAGTTCTTCTTTTTGTTGTTCTTGTTCTTGTTCTTGTTGTTCTTCTTGTTGTTCTTGTTGTTGTTGTTCTTGTTGTTCTTGTTGTTCTTCTTCTTGTTCTTGTTGTTCTTGTTCTTGTTGTTCTTCTTGTTGTTCTTCTTCTTGTTCTTGTTGTTCTTGTTCTTGTTCTTGTTGTTCTTCTTGTTGTTCTTCTTCTTGTTCTTGTTCTTGTTGTTCTTGTTCTTGTTGTTCTTTTTGTTGTTCTTGTTGTTCTTGTTGTTCTTGTTGTTCTTGTTGTTCTTCTTGTTGTTCTTCTTGTTGTTCTTGTTCTTGTTGTTGTTTTTGTTCTTGTTGTTCTTGTTGTTGTTGTTGTTCTTCTTCTTCTTCTTCTTCTTCTTCTTGTTCTTGTTCTTCTTCTTGTTCTTGTTCTTCTCTGGGTTCATGGCTGATCGCAACCAACTTGTTTAGGTGCATACCGCCACCTACTGCACCGAAGTGTGTAATATCATGGCATTTACATGCTTCAGGTTACATTAAAGCAGGGATTTTCAAAGTCTGAGACTGTGGGCCTCCCCTCAGACAAAGCTTGGGACCCCCCCCCCCGCACCCACCCACCCCCCCACCCCCCAACCACATCTTTAGTTTACTTGGTAAGTTTCGCTCAATTCTTGGACGCCTATGATGATTATATTATTTGATTCCACAGACACTCTACAATTGAGCCAAGATGCACTAATATTGCTGTTTCACATAACTTCTGACTACACCAAATAGTTTTAAAAAAAATTCTGTCCTAAGACATTTATTAGCTTCTGACGCTGATGAGGGGTAAAGAGTTCCCCAAAACTACAGTATCTCTGAACTCTCCCACATGTAGGCTATTATATGTGATCTCCTTTTGATAACTAATGCGATCAGTGTGTAATATTGTTTCACTTCCATTCGTTGAACCTCCCCAGAAACTGTTTGGACTGTTTGGAGCTTCTTCTGCCACACGTCACTCACTGCCTTTCTAATTAATGATTTGGCCTCTCCTTTTCCAAAGGGAACTTTTATTACTTCATAACGCTCTCTTTAAAATCTCATTTGCTTTCTTATTCACCTCAACACCAACATGAGCAGGGCCGAACAAAGTTCCACATCAACTCCAGCTCTTTGTATTCTCAGCATTATCGTAAATCTTTCAATCAATAAATCATCCCTTACTGTTTCTTTGGAATTCAAACTATTAAGGGCTGCAGTAGAGCCTGAACAAATGACCTTACCTCTTCTATCTGTTTCGACAGATAATACAGATAATTTATTATTAATTCTTTTACATATCAAAGTCAGGTATGTGTGCCCCTGATCCTACATGTTCACTCCCTGGATCTTTTGATCCATCAGTAAATATTAACATATTGTTATAATAATTCCTCTTCACATAATCATGAACCAAATATCCAATATTATCCAGATTCCTTTCACTATATTCTCTCTGCTTCTCCACAAGCTTCAAGTCCACATCAGAGCACTTTTCCAACTATCAGGCATTACACCGTCTCTCCATATCTTATTAAACAGTTATATAACAGAAATATAATTTCCAAGACTTCTTCTGGTAATTGTCTAAACATAGCGTAACGTATAGTTGATCTTGTCCTGGAGCTGTATATCCACTTCCCTCAAGGACCATTTTTAACTCATCTAATGAGAAGTCCACGTCAAGTGCCGATTCACCATTATTGTTTTTCTTTCTTACATCACTATTTGTTCTTTTCTCTTGTTTATGTATTTCATCTAAATGAATTCCCCTATGTAAGCTGCAAACTTCTTACCCAGTAGTTTAGCTTTCTCCTTATGTGTAATTGCCAGGTATTCAGCACTGGGATTTTACAGATTTTTTAATCATTGCCCAAATGTCACCCAGTTTAACTTCTCTGCCAATGGAGGAGCAGTATTGCCTCCATGCATCGACTTAATTATTTTACGTGCCAAAGCTCTCTTTCTTTGATAGTCAATAAGATTATATTGACCCAAATGCTTACTTAAAATTCTGAATGCTTGATTTCTATCTTTTATAGTATTTTTACATTCATGGTTCCACCATGAAACTAGTTTCTTTTCCCCATTCATGGTGCTCTTAGGGATGCAGGTTACTGCAGCACTAATAATCATGGAAGTCACTGCTACAGCGCAGCTATTTACATCCCCCTCCATCGATTTTCTTTCAGTCTGCTCATTACAAAGTTCTCTGATTTTTTCCCATTCAGCTTTAGGAAAACACCATCTCTCTGTTACATAACCCTGCTGAACATACATGTTAAAGTTCAAGGAAATATAAGACTGGAAGGTGATCAGTTCCTTTGTTGGTGTTATTCTTTACTTTCCATTCACATAAATTACTCATATTTACAGAGAATAAAGTAAGATCTATACATGAAACTGAATTCCTTGTAATATTAACCCTAGTACCTTTTTAATGTTTCATCATTAAGGCAATAAAGTGATCTCTCCTCGATTACTTCTTCACCTACTTCTCCATTTGTGTTTGTATGGTCACTTCCCCACATAGTGTTGTGAGCATTAAAGTCTCCACATCATATTTCTCTACTATCAACACTTACTGAGATCTCATGAGATGTTTGCATTGACAATTCTGACTTCCAGATCAGTTACAACCTTCTTGAACTCTTGTCCATTAAACATCTGGCATTCAAGTGGAGGATATGAAATAGCATAATGAAGCAAATCACCCTGAGACACTCCATCATAATTAGAGAGGTTCAACATCTCATGAATCAGTTCAGCTGTAACTTCTTTAATAACCAGTATCCCTATAGCTGCCTTTACAAATGTCTGGATTCTATCACTTTTGCCGTATTGCCACATTCACAGTCTTACAGATGAAAGCAACAATGTTGGTTTTACACACAATCAGTGTATCTTCAATAATCTCCTTTATCCATGAAATTGTTTTTGTTTGTCTCTGACTTGTTATGGGTGATGAAACCTCAATTACTTATCTATTCTGAGACTTGTCCTGCCAAGTCTCCCATTCTTTGATACTTGAAACATCGAAGTGGTTCTGAGATAAACTCTCTGACATCATAACTCAGGTATCCCATTCTTACTCTCTTTGGCATAGCTTTTTCAAACTCAAGGACTATAGACAGGCTATCGGTTTTCACCCCCTTTCTTTGTGTTTGCAGTCTTGTGGCTTTGACCACCTTTCCTCCTTTTACTTCCTGAATGATCTCTATTGTCATTGCCAAAGGTACATCATAAATAACACCTCTAAGCTTTGCTGCATTCCCAGGGGTATGAGCACTGATCCTTTCACCATTCAGTGTTTCTGTTCTGAGAAACCGTTCTCTTTGCAGTTGATCTCTAGCAAACACCAAAAGCCTCCTGTTACTTAAATATTTGGCAAACTTGATCTTACCCATTTCTTTCTAAATTGCTTTTGTTAGTTTTAGTGGGTGAAAATGCCCCCAGGCTTCTCTTGAACGTTATCATCACTTCCATTCACATTCATCATTATAGGCTTCACTTTTTTGGACATGTCGCCCCCCTCTAAACCATAGGTTGAACTTCCAGAACTATCGCACCCCCCTTTCTCCTTTTTTATTTACATCCTGCCATGACATACTATCACTACCTTCGTCTGTACGTTTACCCACAATAGTCACATTCACGGTACAGTTTGTTTCTAATTCGCCAAATAATGCTCACTCTCAGCAACACGCTCGAACACAATTCCAGCAAAACTCTCTCCGCTCCGACTCGAATTAGAGGATTGCATACTTTTCATGTTTTCTTTCTGAGCAGATGTCCCCAATGAAGTTTTGTGTTTTCCATCATTTAGTACTGATATTAATTACCTTCTTTCTTCGTCATACCTGTTGCAAGCCAGGAGCAAACATTTGAGTTTGATTTTCCATACACTGCATTTATAGGCCAGTATTGACCTGTTGTCTATTCTATGGAGTGTTTGATGGACTTTCTATTCTGGAAAGTGCGGACAAGCTATCTGAAGCAATTACAACACTGGGTTGGTTATGTTCTTCCACCCATTGTAATGCTAACACCATTCTGAGTAACTGAGATGCGCACATGTTACATGTTTTTCACTGGTACCTCACAGCGAGGGATGAAGAAAGTATCTCCTGTGTGCCCAATTCAATTCAATTCAATTTTATTTATATATAGCGCCAAATCACAACAACAGTTATCTCACAGCGCTTTTCATAAAAGAGCAGGTCTAGACTGTACTCTATGATGCTATTTACAGAAGCCCAACAGTTCCCACCCAGTCTCCTGTTCATTTGAACCATCTGGAAATATGAACATCTTGTGTTGGCGATGGTCAATATAGTCTTTACTCCTGTTCTGGGTTTTCATTTTTGCAGCAGGCTATATTACTCCTGTAAAATGGCCTATATGCCTATATATATATATATATGAGAGGCTGATTTCCCCCCAAAATTGGGGAATTTTCGCAATGGTGTCTGGGACTTGTAGTTTCAGAGACACAAAGAAACCGGACCGTAGTGTTTCTTGAGGCGATGGCGGCCGATGGATGCAGTAACACTACAAAGAACAAGTGGTACACCGCAGACTAATTGTTTTGTTTCTCAGCGTCGTCGTGAATACTTTAAACATACCCCCCAACATATCTTTGTGTTCAGTCTCCGGTGCAGGGGAGGGCAGCAGGAGACTGAAATTCCCCCGCCAACTGTCACACACGAGGAGCAAGAAGAGAAAGAACCGCAGTCGCGCGCACTCGTGAGCGCGCACAGACACTAAATCCGCTAGACAACTAAACCTGTCCCGGACCGCGGGAGAGATGACTGTTTTTACCGTTTTAGCAAATCTTCATGTACGGACCACCTGTATCCATTTGTACCCTTAAGGAAACTAATTATTCTGTGGAATACAACTATTTGGGAGGACGCCTTACTCATCTTTTGTTTTCTTTTGGAGAAAAAAGCCGCACGGGGTTTGTCGAGCCAGTGGGTAACGTTAACGTTAACGTGAGTCAGGAGTTGGAACAACGACAAGCTTTCCGTACTAACTTACATTTCAAAAAACTCTTTTGCTGGACACGTAACCTTTTAAGACTTTTTTTAGGGGCTAACAATGACCCTGGACTGCCCAAAACAGTGTCAGAGGCTAAGCTAGGTTTTGAGCTGAACTATTATGAAAGCTACACGCTGTGTTGACCAAGCGGGTATTTATAGCGAAAATTTGGAGCGTTACTCCAAAAGCTATTGCTAAAGGAAACCCACACTTTAAAGTTTAAATCCACTGTCAACTTTCTAACGTTAGCTAATTGAATGACCCAGGATTCACCATGTCGTTTTTTAATTTCCGTAAAATATTTAAATTGGGATCTGAGAAGAAGAAGAAACAGTATGAACACGTCCGCAGAGATGAGAATCCAGAGGAAATATGGGACATAATCGGTGAATTGGGAGATGGCGCCTTTGGAAAAGTGTTCAAGGTACGTAATGTCTCCTTCAGTAAACCTGAGTCTTTTGTAACCTCTAAGTTACATACCCAGAAATCCTGTTTTTGAATCCCGACACAACGTGCCAGCAGTGTCACCTCAGTGTTGCATTGCTTTGACCCACCCACCATCTTCAAAGCAGCACACCAGCCCTGTGACAGAGGTAGGGTCAAATATTACTCTCCACAGATATCCAACAGGCTTGTCCCTTCTCCCTAGGAAGTTTGTTTCCATGTGACTCACGTGTCATCAGATCCACTCATTTCTGGAAACTTACTGGTCTCATTTGCAGGCAAAGCTGGAGCAAAATCTACTTTTATGATGCTGGTGGATGATGTTTTTATCCTCTCTGCTCTAAACAAAGCAGCCAAATAATTCCCCTTTTACACTGTCAAAGCAGCGTCCCTTGTTATCATTTTAATGGAGCCATTGTTTGGTTTGAGCCTCATTCAGAGCTGGAGCCAGAAGCTTCATTTGCATGAGTGACAGTAAATTTGATCACACAGGAGGGCTCGACCAAGTCCAATACCAGGAAGTCTGTGGCTTATGAATGCAGTTCAGATGTTCTGTTTTGTACTTCATTGCCAAATGCTATTTTTGGAAGTGGTGGAATAGTTGGACTTCACCAAGATTACATGCTGGCATTACTTTGTATTGTGCTTAAATTAAGCCTAATCTTCTTGCACAATGATTTAGTCACAGGTTGCCAATTTCCCAGCATTCCAACAGCAAGGCTCACATGAACTAGACCCACAGTTCAAGAAGAAGGAGAAAGTACCAAAACAGATCATTTATCGTAATTATTATATAACACGGGCAGGTCACCAGGAAGTGGCTGCATCCCATATTGCTGTGCCGACTTCATTGAGCACATCCTGCCTGCAGAGGAGCCAACACAAACAGGAGAAATTTCACTTTCCACTTTAACAAGACATTTCTGATGTTCTGCTGACTTGCGCAGACCTACAGCAAAGCAGGGGGGGGGGGTTATTTGTTGTTTTTAGATCCTCTTAAAGGCGTGTGAGATGTTTATTGCAGGTCTGAGGTCAGGGCAACTTAAAGTCCAACATAAACCAGATTTGGCCGTCCATGAGTCTTTGAGATTCATTTAGAGCAGCGAAACGGGGACAAACACAACATTTCTGAACTAGATCCAAGACAAGCAAGACTTTACACTGAAGTGAATAAATGTACGAGTCCTTTGGCAATTCAACAGTTTAATAACGTTCTCTTCCTACAGGCTCAAAACAAACAGACCGGCATCCTAGCTGCAGCCAAAGTTATTGACACAAAGACCGAGGAGGAATTGGAGGACTACATGGTGGAGATCGACATCCTGGCCTCCTGCGACCACCAAAACATCGTCAAACTGCTGGACGCTTTCTATTATGAGAGCAAACTCTGGGTGAGTATAGGGATGTGGTCTCTGCAGTGCTAATGTCGTCAGTGTTTCCTCCATGTCACCCAAGCAGAAGAAATATGGACCTAATATAGCCGTTCAAATTAGCCTAAAATTGTAAAGTAAAAGTAAATTTCTCCCCACTGTAAATCTGCTCTATAAAATCACAGAAGAAATACTGTTTCATTGAGTCTGTTTTATAAGCTCTGCTTTTCAGTTTTTATGATAATTGACATAATGGGCTCAAAATTGTATAAATGCCTTTAACCTGCAGTATTGTTATAAGCTGTAATTAAGTTCCTTTCCTGCTCTAATATTGTTATCAAAATGTGAGGCCAAAGTTCCCACGAGCAGCAGAAACAAGCAGCTTTGAGAGCAGTTAATCATCATACCAGTTTATAATCCCTTCGCTTTTGATATGGGCTTGTTTTTAAATAGCTTTGTTTTTTTTACTGTAGCCACTTATTGCAAACAAAGATATATTTTGTCATCTTGTATCTTTGAAAACTACCAGAAGTTTTGTCTAGTGGAGCATCAGTGTGTGGGCTCCAATGAATACTGATTAGTTGTGTGTGTGTGTATATATAGTGCCTTATACCTTGGCCCTGGAGCAAATAGTTTCAGTAGTTATGGATTATACCTGAGGGCTAAACGTGAGGGAAGTGTTCATGAATAAATAATCAGTCTCTGAGGAACTCAGTGACTGAGGTGGATTGCAGGTCAGTCCGAACCAGTCATTTAGGGGTTTCTCTTTCCTATCATTCACACACAATATGTAACCATGCAGAGCAAGGATTTAAAAAGGATAAAACTACATAGATGAAGGACAGATTTAGAAACAGGGCATTAACACATGAGTCAAGGCCATGGTGCACAATCGGAAGTACCACACAAGCATTCAACAAGACAGTCAGTTTATTATAAACTCCCATGTTAACCTGAGTATTTAATTTCAGTGCATTTCATTGAGCGCTCTGCCCTTTTCCTCGCCATTGTCCTCTGAACAATGGTCATAGCTGATGGCAGTTGTTGATTTTTTTTTATTATTTTTTTTATCCTGGCCTGTGTGGCCCCTGCAAACAGGAGAGAGTGTCTAGGACATTTCCTCCTTGAGATGAAAGGCTTTATTCCACATAATCCAAGAAAGTTTGGGAGGTGACTCACTATATAACTGCACACTAAATTGTGTCACTCACTGACCTTCGTTGCCCTGTGCTGTGTTAAGCAACTATTTCAATTGCACAGCAACAGTTTAGGGCTTCAGGCTGTGACATTGCTGATACTTCTGTCCTTTTAGGCCTGTACACATGTTGGTGAGATCATATACAGTCTTACATCCTCCCTCTCTGTGCCACATGAGTGGATTAGAAATTATGTTGGTTGGTGCATGCTTGTCCATTTATTTGTGTGTGTCAAATAAACATGTGGGAGAGGAAACCACAGCCCTGGCCCGTGGTTCCTCTCTGCCTGCTGCCACTCTGAAAAACCACTGTGGTGTCTATTGTACAACAACAGAGCCACTAAAACAACAGCACGCCTACAGTGAAACGTATAATGCCGTGCGTGTTGAATAGCCAAGACTGTTCTGAGACTTGAGGCATTGTATGTCTTGTAAGGGCTTTGTTGTTGTAAGTAGAACAGTCTTGAAAAGCTCAACTGAATAAAAGAATGCCACCGAACCTTGGTGAAAAGTGTTTTTAGGAAGATTTTGTCACTTTCCATTTAACATGCAGGCTGACCCTGTAAATAAAGCGAGTATCTTAACCAACATATCAACCACAATTAGTTTCTCAATGGTTACAGAATTGCAGAATCGTGGCTTTACTTCCTCTTCTTTAACGTGTTGTTGCCCAAACCTCAGTGTGGATGGATGAGTTAGCATCGTGCCATAAGGCTAGCCTTGTGTCTAGCTCGATAAAGACACATTATCATACTCACCCCTGCCTGAGGTGCCGTATCCATAGAAACTTTAATCCTATTTACAGGCCTAAAGTCTGGCAATATATCTAGCTAGCTAGCTACCTAGCAGCTGTGTGAGACCTTTTCCACAATGTGGCCCCAACTGGGCCAATCCTCTTACATCTACCGGCATACTGAAAGCTCCTAAATGCCTTTAAGGGCTCAGAGGGTTTCATTCAGACTAGGTGGAGGTTCATTCTCAAATTGTCTAGCCATGTGAGTAGTTAGGGTTTGTGATGGCGGCAGTGATGATGATGAGTGCCTTTTAGAGTTTTGTATGTATATTCCAGCAGACTAAATACATGGAGGCCAGCATTTCTCTCTGAGCTTTAGAACTATAGATAGACAATAGATTTGAAAGGTCACTGGGTACAACTAGAGCATTACTGCCTAATGAATGGCCTGTGCTCACCTCTTTATGAAATTCATTTTGTAGCACAGCTCATTGCTAACCACTAAATAATAATAATAATGTGATGCGTAATAATTTTACATAATCAAAACTGTGTTGCAAATGTTGATAAACGCACTGTGACTCTGTTCCTTTTTCTCCTCGCTGGCAGATCCTCATCGAGTTCTGTGCAGGAGGGGCTGTGGATGCTGTCATGCTAGGTGAGTCAGCATTGTTATAATGTCAAAAAGGAAACTGTCCAGAAAGCAGCACTAAAAAGCAAAGTGAAAGGCCAACCGCATATCACATGCTTCATTCGTCAATACAGTGAATGTAGCTTAATCCTTTATCAATGATTAGGTTGGATTAGTGGATTCCACAGTCAGGAATGTTAAGCATGTGTTGTGTCCCTCTGCAGAACTGGAGAGACCCCTTACAGAGCCTCAGATCAGGGTGGTTTGTAAGCAGACTCTGCAGGCCCTCGTCTACCTTCACGACAACAACATCATCCACAGAGACCTGAAGGCTGGCAACATCCTCCTCACGCTGGACGGTGACGTCAAGCTGGGTAAGGGCAAAGTCAAAGATTTAAAAAGTTACGAAGTGATTTACAATAAGAAACAAGGTAGATTAATTTATTATTTTACAACAGGGTTGTATAATGAGATAAAATTGTCATTCATTTTATGCTACTCACAAAAAGCAAACATAACATACAAAATGATATACAGGGTGAAGGAATAAGCAGAAGAAGATAGAAATAAAACTTTACATGGTGGAGTGCTGAGGATGAATTTGGGAGTCTCACAGCCTGGGGGAAAAAGCTGCTCCGCAGTCTGGTGGTGTGGCAGCAGAAACTTCTGTATCTCTTCCCAGAAGGCAGCAGGGTGAACAGGCTGTGGCTGGGTGCCTCACCTCACCGATATCACTGATACTCAGGAGTTGGGTACCAATGAGTGGTTTTAATCACCCGCTCCAGAGCCCTCCAGTCCCGGGCCGTGCACATGCCCACTTCCCATGCCAGTATGTGATGTTTTCAGGTCCAACAGAGTTGTAGCTCTCTTCACAACAACACAGACGCAGGTCGGGCACGTCTGGTCTCTCTGATACATCCGCACTTTGTTCACGCCGTGAGAACTACATTTATAAATCAACACAGTACACATATATCAGTGCATTATACAGTACATAGCTTAGCGGAAGAAAATACAAACAACACCTAGCATAGCAAAGATGACGTGGTAAAATACCTTGTTGGCCGCTTGTGTGAAAAGAGGTTATTAAATCCTTTAAAGTCCCTTGAAAGTCCATTTGTAACTTTTAATGCAGTGTAACAAAGTCTCGTAGCCATCTGCTCCGCTGGAACCCGAAACAGTGCGCTATTTTTAACTTTACATTAAATTAATTATTATTATTTGTTAGAACTGTGCATCATGAACACACAAGTATTTATGCAACAACACTTACAAGAGTTCTCTCCATGTCGGGGGATTCAGTCTTGGGTGTACAGCATGATCAGGAGAGGGGGCTGAGCACACAGCAGTGGGGGGGGGGCTCTGGTGTGACCGGCAATCCAAACTCTCTTCTGGTCTGTTTGTAAGAAAGTCCAATATCCAGTTGCAGAGTGTGGTACTTAAGCCAGCCAATCAGTTCGTCAATCACTTTCATGGGGGAGATTGTGTTGAAAGTTGGCATCCTTTGTGGATTTGTTGGTTCAATAAAAACTACTAATAAAAGTAAATAAAATCCAAAATATAACAAAACAAGATAAAACCATTTAAATAGTTACATCAGATAACATCAGTTAAGAAAAAGCCAAGAGTGAGTCTTAAGAAGAGACTTTAAAGAGGTCACTGAGTTTGTCTTCCTGAGATCCTCAGGCAAGGAGCGCTGCGGCTCAGGGGCCCGGACAGCAAAAGCCCTGTCACCTTTGGTGACAAGTGAAGATAGTGGAACCATTAGCAGGGGCCTGCCAGAGGATCTCAAGCAGCAATCGAGCAGAGATTATCCGGCGACAGATATAAGCAGGCGCCTGGCCATTCAGGGCTTTAAAAGCAAGCAGTAAAATCTTAAAATCAATTCTAAAACGGGTAACCAGTGAAGGGCAACAAGGATTAGTGTGATGTGCTCGCTTCTCTGAGTACTCTTAGATAGACTGCAGCCTCTTTTTTAACATCATTAGATAAGCCACCAGGGCTAGAGGAGAGGTTGTTAATGCTGCTGTGCAATCTCTGATTTGGAGTCATTGAACTGCAGGGAATGTTTTGACATCCACTTCTTTGTTTCAGGGAGGGGAAAAATGAAGATCCATAGGTGCTTAAATGTGTACTGTTGTAGGATGAGTGGAGAAAACTGTAAGCTATACAAACAGGGTATAGGAGAAAGTTAGGAGCTAGTGTCAGTTGTCTTGCTTAAGTACATTTTTCCTGGTTCAGTTTCGGCAATTTCTTTACTTTTCCAGGGGAAAACCATAAATGAGTTCACAGTCTAGCAATGTAGGCTGCTTGCCCTTAGCCATAGTCTCCATGTATTTATCTCATGTTTCTTAATGATATGGCACAGGAATGTCCTGTACAGTGAAACCATCCATTTATAGCTGCATTCACACATACAGCCCAAATACATTGTTAGGTTCAGGCGTCTGCGTGGGTCACACAGGTCGGGTCAAGGTAAAACAGATTTACCTCTTTGAATTTTACGACAATATATTTTTAGCTCTAGTAATGCAATAAGCTTGCAAGGTCACATGATCCCCATCATGCAGTTACTCTCTATACATGCAAAACAGTCATAAGAAAGAATATTGGGACTCTTTGTATGTTTTATCCAGAGTTGTGCTGCTCTTGTTCCTCTTACAGAGCATTTCCTGAATGACATAAAAGTCGCAATATTTACTTGCCATTTTCAGTTTGATACACATACGGTTTCATTTTTGTAGTTTTTGGCCATTATTCCTACCAGTAATAACAAATCAAATATTAAATAAAAATGCAGTAAATAGTAAAACAAATTGTTTGTGGAGATTGGAAAGTCTAAGTCACACTGAATCTAAAATCTGATGAGATTTGACTCAAATTTCAGCAATTGGTGGCAGAAGTTTTTAAAGTTTGCCTCCATGAGCTGTGTGTCGCACCCTCTGCTGCAGCCCCACCTGTTTAGCGTGCTGGTAAACATGCAAACAACTAACTTCCTGTTCTTCTTAGAACACCGGCGTGCACCTATTCCTTTGCCCTCATGCAGTATCCCCCCCCTTTATCTCTCCTATGAGAGTATCCTGAAAATGTTCCGTTTAAAAAGAGAGCCATAAAAGAAATTCACTGTATACTGCACACTCTTTCTGTTGCATGGCCACTGCAGACATGGCAACATGAATTAGTGAGCTTTATGTACAGCAATTGTTTGGACTCGCTGCTCAGTGTGTGCACACACACACACACGTATCCACAGCAGATGCAGTAACGCAGCTTACTTGGAATGAGTCACTGCTGGTGAATGGAACAAGCTCGGTGAAATAACACAGCAAGCATTTTGTCCAGAGACATAACACACAGAGGTGCCTGTGCATCTGCCCGCTGGGGCACTGATGAGCTGTTACTCATAAACGATACAAACAAGGCATGATGTCATCATGCAAATGTAGGAAGAGCTTTATAACAGCATATGTTTTTTTTGGGCTGTTATTTTGTGTTCATTTCATGTGCTGATGAGATTAGCTACTGTGCTGCTCATTGGTACAGATTTTCATGTTGTACTATGGGTTGTGTGGCTACATTTGGAATATAAATGATGACCGTGTTGTTCCTCTGGCTAATTTCTGTTGAATCACGTGTCTTTCAGCTGACTTTGGTGTCTCTGCCAAAAACACCAAGACGCTGCAGAGGAGAGACTCTTTCATTGGAACGCCTTACTGGTGAGTGGGAAAATAAAACAAAACCCATTTTTGTTGAAAAATGACCAAAGACACGATTAACATACACAACTGCTCACCATCAGGTTTGCCCTTTTGCCTTTCTTGCACCCAATACAATAAACATCCATGAACTCCACGTCTCCTTTCAATGACTTCCAGGATGGCTCCAGAGGTGGTGATGTGCGAGACGTCCAAGGACCGTCCATACGACTACAAGGCTGATATCTGGTCCCTTGGGGTCACCTTGATTGAGCTGGCACAGATTGAGCCACCCAATCACGAGATGAACCCCATGAGAGTCCTGCTGAAAATAGCCAAGGCTGATCCCCCTACCCTGATGCAGCCATCACGCTGGTGAGTCACCGCCCAGAGCTCCTTTGTCCTGTTGTTCCACCCCCCCACCCGCCTCTGGTTCAGTGCCCATTACGGATTCATTCAGCTATTAGGACCGCTAACTGAGCTAACTAGCTAACGGCAGTTATTATAATTATATGTGATGTGCTGCCCCCTATTGTTCGACAGGTGGAGAATAGTGTAAATTCTACATGTTACCTTTTAATGTCTTTGTGTTTCTGTTGTTCTTTTGTACATAATTTTTACTTGTAAATACCTCTAGTAAAGAATAAATTTAAAAAGATTGAAGTTTTATTTTTTGCTTGTTTCCACCTCTAAGGTCCCCAGAATTCAGTGATTTCTTAAGGCGGTGTCTGGACAAGAATGTGGACAACAGATGGAGTCCGACGCAGCTGTTACAGGTACCTTTGTGTTGAAATTGAGATAATCCTACCTTCCCCATCCCATACCCATGTACCACCTGCCATTCAGAGCATTAGCAGTCCTAGAGTCCGACATCTGTTTACCTGCTTGGTGTCAGGTCTGTGTCAGGTACTAAATCGTGTGTCCTGGCAAGACTGACACTCATCCCTTTGTGCTCGGGTTGACGTCAGCGGTCTTTTTCCATAGGGTTTAAAGTGCTTGCCAAGTCAGAGCCACTTAGGTACAGAGCTGCAGTAAGAACACATTCATACACACACACAGCAAATACTGTACAGCGCTGCGGCTAAAGGATTGTTCTGCGCAGAGGAAGACTCAATGGGCTTGAAAATACAAAATAGCGGTCTGCCACCGATGAAGATTTTGATATCGAAGAAGCTGCATATTCTCAGGCCAGCGATAGAATATGTGCAGCATATTTCTAATCCAAAGAAGGTGAGGTTAACGAGATGTAGACGCACTGTGTTAGGTCCTGCGTTAATTTGCATGAAAGAAGTTAACTGATCAATTTATTTACCTGTTATTGTGAAGTCACTCAGACAGAGGATGACAGAGTAACAGGGTGGAGGAATGTAAGTGTTTTAACCCATATTGTTTAAATGTTATTTGGATATACTTTGTTGTGGTTTATACAGTCAAAGTAGGCGCAGTCTGTTATACTGTGAGCAGTTTATATCTCAAAATCTATGGGATTAGTTGTTGGTGGGGTGTCCGGTCTTTGCTGCCAACCACATCGAAGTGCTTTCAGTGAAGCACTGTTGAATGTTGAGTTCACCACATGCTATGCACAAGGTGTTAACATATAAATTAAACGTTGATTTCTGATCATGTTTTTTATTTTATTTGCCTTTTGCACAGCATTCATTTGTGTCCAGTGTGATAGACAACAGGCCACTGAGGGAGCTCATAGCCGAGGCGAAGGCTGAGGTCACCGAGGAGATTGAGGAGCACAAAGAGGAAGAAGAGGAGGAAGAGACAGAAGCACATCTGGTGTGTAAACATTCATCAGTTTGTCAAAGGTTTGCTAGAGGAATTAGCATAGTTGAGCGAAGAATGCAAACACTTTTTATAGTTTTGTTTTCATTAAACGGGGCAGACTGAATTTGCAGATGAACAATATGCCACACATTGGGTTGTACTTTATACTGATTACTTTATTAATTGACTAAAGATTTATGAGCAAATATTTTGATTACAGATTTAATAGTAATTTTCAGGTTCTCAAATGGGAAGATGTGCTTTGAAGAGCTCTGCAGTTTGGCATCAAGTGTTTGTTATGTTCTGAGCATAAAGAAAAGTTTAAAGCCACTTTTAACCATCTGGTTTCCTCAAATTTCCCCCAGGAGCAAAAATCAGCTTTTAAACTTGAAATAAATATTGATTTGACATTTATCGTGGTAATTATCGATATCGAATGGTAAGAAATGTTTTTTATCGTGATAACATTATTGGCCATATCGACCAGCCCTACTTCACCTTAGGCTCTGTGTTAATGTGACATTTGGTAATCGTAATGATTAACATAGCTTTAATTGATAATTTAATTTAAAACAAAATCATTAGTTGCAGCCCTGATGCTTTCCTGATTCAGCGTTATAAACATTTTAGAATTTTATATGTTTCATTATTGATGAATCTGCTGGTTATTTCCTCGATTAATCAGTTAATTATTTGGACTATACAATGTGTGCATTACTATTACCCAGAATGCAATTTGACCCAAAGATATTCAGTATACCACATTGAAAACCAAGAAAAACAAATCTGTATTTTTGCTTGAAAAATGACTCGATCAGAACATGATTCATCTATTATCCGTTCATTTCTTGTCCATCAAGATATGGATTTGTCAGCAATTTTTTCCAGCTCTTACAGTGATTGGTCAGTGGACCCCTGTTGTGTTCTGGCTTTGGGAGAAACCACCCTTCCTCACCTCTGTCTCTTCTTCAGGGTCACAAACGCGCCGCCTCTGATGTCAGCGTGGCCAGCACAGAGGAAGAGAAGATCCCCGTCTCTCCCTCCGTCTTGGAATCAGTCCCTGAGAAGGCTGAGCCACTGCTGCCCGTGGCCACGCCCACTGAGCTCCCTGTGGTCACGCCTACTGAGCTCCCTGTGGCCACGCCCACTGAGCTCCCTGTGGCCAACCATGTGGTGGACACTAGCTTTGTGGAGGAGCCCGCTGCCCCTGGCGCTGGGGAGCACACGGAGGAGTGTTCAATCACTCCAGTTGAGGGTGGTGAGGTAGAACAGAAACAAGTGGAGGAAACGCTTCCAGAAGCAGGAGTAGATGTTGCCTCCCCAGGACCAGAGGCTGAACCAGAGGCACCTGCTAAGGAAATGCAGCAGCTGGAGATTGCTGTTGAGGATGAAAAGGAAGTGGACACAGCTGAGGTTCCAGCCAATACACAGACCAGCACAGAGAGTTCAGAGGTCACTGAAACTCCTCAGGAGGAAAAGATGACTGTTGTGGAGGAATCAAGCACACCAGCAGAGGAGGAGGAGGACCAGTACAAACATCTGAAGGTGACACTGACACTACCAGAGCCAGACAAAGTTCTTCCAGAAGAGGAGAATGGCGAGAAACCAACAGAAAAGGATAAAATAAATGCAGAAGATGAGAAGACTGTTCCAGACAAAGCTAAGGATGATAAGGAGAGAGATTCAGACTCGGGGAGCGTCTCAGCCGCAGATAACAGCAGCGTTGACCTCAATCTGTCTATCTCAAGCTTTCTGTCCAAGACAAAAGAGCGTGGATCTGTTTCCATACAGGTAACTCACACTTGACCACACACTCAAAGATAAGAAACTGTACTGCAGACTTGCATAGCTACAGGTACATCTATAAACTCCTCTTTCTTGTTTTCTCAGGACACAAGGCGTCAGAAGAAGACGTTGAAAAAGACTCGCAAATTCATTGTGGATGGAGTGGAAGTTAGCGTGACTACATCAAAGATCGTCACTGACAATGATACCAAGAACGAGGAGATGAGATTCCTGAGGTATTCGCCTACCTTCATTTGCATCCACACAGGGCTTCAGTTTTATGCAAATATTATGTAAATACATTGCCCGGGAGCCTACGTGTACATCCTGACTCCTGTCAAAGTCCTTTTAGGCCTTTTAAGTCATACCATTCGGCCGCCATCTTGGCAACGCTTCCTGGCAGCTATTTCGGACTAACAAGACCAGGCTCCTATCTGAATGAATGGGGAGAGACCGTTACGTCAGTGGAACCACACGATTGGCTGAAACGTCAGTTACGGGCTTTCCCCATAGAGTTGTATTGAGAATGTGATTGAGTGGCGTGTCTCATCTAAAATGTCTCTGCTCCTGTGTGGAGTTAATCTCTTTAATGCTGAATCTGTAAGCCACCGTTTCAGAACTCTAGGCAACAAGTGCTCACCACTCTGACATGCTTTGTGCTTTAAAGAGGTGGTATTGTGCTTCTTGGCTTTTCCCCTCTCCTTAATTGAGTTTTATACCTTTTGTGCATGTAACAGGTGTGCAAAGTGAAAAAGCCCAAAAGTCCAGCCCAGAGGGAGTTCCCATCTCCCACAGAAAACTCTGCTCTGAACTGTCTGAAAACAGCTCGTTTGTAGTCCAGACGTTTCCCTTTCATCCCTGTGACGTCACCGGGATGAAAGCTAAATGCGCCTCATATAACGCTCGCCAAGCAACTAGTCCGACACGCCGTCAAAAACAGTGAGCTGCAGCACACAGCTCCCCTGTGTTATTTGAAAATTAAACCATGTAAACCTGTTCTGGTACAAACCCTAAATAGAATTTTGAACCTGAAAATTAGCACAATACCACCTCCTTTTAAAAATAAATAAATAAATACAATTTTCTTCTTCCACCTTTCTAGGCGCCAGGAGCTGAGGGAGTTGCGTCTCCTGCAGAAGGAGGAGCAGAGGGCCCAGCAGCAGCTCAGCAACAAGCTGCAGCAGCAAAAAGAACAGATCTACCGGCGCTTTGAACAGGAGACCACGGTGAGTGACCCAACTCAGAAATGTCAGGGCTCACAGTGTTAACATTGTTTTCAAATCTGTAAATTATGGGCTCAAAGGCATCCCAACAAAAATGCTGTTGTGTTTCTTTACATTCTCCAACGGACAACCATGTGAGCAGTCTTCCCGGTAACACTTTTCACTGTAGTCTTTTGCAAATGGTGCCCATTTTTGTCTTGACTTTCTAAGCCCTTTCAGAGCCATGCTTTATATCATTGTGTAACCTTAATAATATTTATAACTTTTACTAATATAGCACTTATCAAACAAAAGTACAAAAGATAAACACAGGGTGAAAAAGGGCACGTAACACCACTATATAAGATAAAATACATAAGGACAATGCAAGAGACAAAATACAAATGAAAAAGAAATGGGAAATCACAAGTAAGTAAAACAGATTGACTATAAACATAAGACTAGAATAAATAGCGACTTTATATGACTAAAATAACACCATAAGATAAAACGGGCAACTCCGATAAAATCAGGATATGCCTTCTGATAAGTGTGTTTTTAAAAGAGATTTAAAAGATGACAATGACTCTAGGCTCGTGCGGACTACACGACATTCAGCGTCGGCCGATGGCCGTACCGTTCACACTACACAACTTGCCTTGTGACGGAAGTCGTTGTGGCGTTCACACTACGTGACTAATCGGTGACGGGGGGTCCGACGCTGGTCTCCAAACCACCTTTTGTGACGAAAACACGTGTGAAAAGGGAAACGGCGTGAACCTACAGACAAAACAGCTGTTGTTTGTTATTATAAAGAAAGCAATTATAAATACAAAGAATAATGGTGAGAGAATGGATCAACACACGCAGGTAGCAGGGATTGTCTGAGCTACAGAGGGAGCTGGAGGGGAGTAAAAAGTGTTTTGCGGTGCAAAAGTAGCTGCCTGCTCTCATTGGCTGGATGTGGATGTCGGGTCGGCCGACTCCACCAGATATATGGCTGGCGTCGACGATGTGTCAGAAATGTGTTGGGGAGCCGTTTTGATGCGTCCTTGAGTAGTTCACACATAAAGACTGGCGACCACCGATCGATCGCTGATTTACCCCTGATCACAGCCTGGCAAATCGGGCTTAAAATTGTGTAGTGTGAACTAGGCTTTGGAGAGCCTTACTTCCTCGGGCAGGTCGTTTCAGAGCCTCGGGGCCCGGACAAAAAAATACTCTGTCCCCTTTAGTTCTAAGCCTAGACGCAGGAAGATCCGGAAGATCTCAAATTTCACAGAGGTTCATAAGGAGTTAAAAGGTCTAATATATTAGCAGCAGCCCAGCCAAAGGGAGCCTTAAAAGTAATCAATGAAATTTTAAAATCAATCCTAAAAAAACAGGGAGCCAATGTAAAGAGGCTAGAGACTCCTGTGTCGTTTGTTTTTGTTTTGCGAGGTGTTGGGGACCAATAACTTTACATGTTTCTGATCATGGCAGGAAAGTGTGCCTCTGTCTTGTGATAACAATTTAATCATTTGTTCTGTTAGTCACCATTTCTGCCTGCCTTGCACCTGGAAACTCGTATGCATGAAAACTGACTGACAAACTGCATCCGCTTGATTCAAAATGAAAATTCACTCAATGCAGATGTCCACAGAACTGCTCTCAAAATTGCATGTTTGTGCAGCAAAACATTGTGACCTTATGATTTAGGAACACAATGAAGAAATGTAAAAAAGAACAGATTCTGTGGTTGTTTGAAGAGGTTTGCTTTGACCCTCTTCAAACGTAGCCTGTCCAGATGTAGGGAAATGTGTAAAAGACAAAGAGTCATCTGAGTGTGTTACTTTTCTCCACTGTACACAGATCCAGATGTTGTGGTATTCACAAATTCTTTGTGTGTTAGCCTTGGATGCAGACGGATTGTAAATGGATTTTAATGTAAAGTTGTCGTTCGCAACCGAGTTGTTACAATTTTCCATCCATTGCAATACATTAAATAATTTGCAGAGTTATGACAGAGCTTGTGTTCATCAGCAATTCATGCAAACCCAATTAGGCCTCTTTTGAACTCTGTTGGATGCCTCATATTACTTTGAAAACTTACGTAATGATGGTTATTGTCAGATCTCTTTTAAGAGTGACTCACTCTGCTAATGGCCTCTCAATTTTGTATGACTCTCCCATGTAGCTGCTTCTGTAATAGTGATTTTATTATTTCAAAATGTGGCATTTTGTCTGGCTTCTAAGACTTTGTTTATGTGGCGTCTACCAAACGCCGTTCACATCCACAGCTTCCGCCAAATGCTTCTGAGGTTTTACACACCGAAAGAACAGAATTGCTTCCTCTTTCACAGCGATTCATTTCACTCATGTGATGTGACCCTCTGTGTCCTCCCAGAGTAAGAAGCGTCAGTATGACCAGGAGGTGGAGAACCTGGAGCGACAGCAGAAGCAGACCATCGAGAGGCTGGAGCAGGAGCACACCAACCGGCTCAGGGACGAGGCCAAACGCATCAAAGCCGAGCAGGACAAAGAACTCTCCAAGTACCAGAACATGCTGAAAAACCGCAAAAAAGAGGTTAGCATGTGGACCATGTTGTGTTCAATTTCCTTTCACTCCCCTTGCCCACAAGTAGTCCCTTAGGAGGATGGGATAGCTTGTAAAGTTCCTATTTATAGTACTTTATTTTGACAGTTAGACACACCTGTCTGATCTGTCTTCTAAGTGTTTACATAACCAGCATTTAGCTGCACAGGGGCTAAATCAGTCTGCGCTGCCACTTCTTATTTATTTTCTCACATGGGGCTAATCTGGTCATAGCTGTTGTCTCATTTTATTTCCATCTATTGCTCATGGCTGCCCTGACACAGGGCAAACAGAGCATGTAACAAACGCTATCATGAAACATATTAAAGAGGAAATTATCGGAACACAGCCAGACGAGGCAATGAGGGCTTTGAATTTTGATACACACTACCTCCTTCCTCTCAGCTCTCCCCAACATGTCTTTTCTTGGAACAGACTTCAAACTGTGTGATGGTAGCATGCACAAAGTTGTTCAACAGTTACATACTGTGCTCAGTTGTGTGTGTGCGCAGTCTTTAGTGCGACGTGTAGGAGGGTAATGTTCTGTGATCCACAGGGAGTGGCTCATGTTATGATTCAGTCCTTTCAGTTGTCCTTGTGCACCCTGTGCAATGTTCCCAGACATGATCGAAGTGGACATGCTACGTTTAGAATCTGTAGGGTAATTTATAGACATTTAGAGACAGGCAATAATAGATAGCCTGAATGTGTTGACTGTACATCATTGAGCACTACATGAGCATGTAAAATGTCAGGTGAGCCAAGTAGGCCAGATTAATGTGACTGACGAGCAGGGGAATTGTCTGGTTCATCAGCTCAAGCCATGCTTAGCCTGAGGTAAACTTGGCAGAAAACCTGTAGGCCAGCAGACACACTCTAAAACTCACACCTGGCCTCATAAAGCCTCTGCTGCTTCGTGTGTTTTTAAAAGGTTTTTGTTGCACTAGATGATGCTCCTTGTCTGTCAGTGGAGAAGTGCCTCGCTAATTTAGGCTACGATGTATCATTATTGTGGATGAAGATTCAGTGAGTCTCTGGTTGTGGCTTTGTCAGTTTATTGTAGACTCTTGAGATTAACGCCTGGACCTGTTTCCTCGTGTCGTTTATGATCTCTGTCTTCCTTTTGTCCAGGAACAAGAGTTTCTTCAGAAGCAGCAGCAGGATCTGGACAGCGCTCTGAAGAAGATTATCCAGCAACACAAACATGAGCTTGCCACTATTGAGAGAGACTGTCTCAACCACAAGCAGCAGCTTCTCCGAGGTAAAAATAATAACTGGCTTTATTCACTTATATTTGGGTGTCTATTTATAAAAGCATTTATGAAATGTTTTATAAATACTTTAATGTACAAAAAAAATTCTCATACTGTCCGTTGCTTCAGCACCTTTAGTCACTCTCTGAACACCCCATTTTAGCTCCAGTCTCTTTAAAGCCCACTTTATTCTCATTCCCGGAAGCCTCCCGAGGGGTAGCCACCAGCTGGCACTGTGCATGGAGATCTGGTCTGGCTATGCAATACTAGGCCTCACTGTTTAAAGTACAAAAGCACAACTTTAGTCACTGGTTTTGGTGAAATGTCATCATTTTTTATGGAGAAAATATTTTTTTACTTGTTAGTAGGGCTGAACGATTTGGGGGAAAAAAAAGATCTAATAACGAATTTTCTGCCAGATATTGCAATTATGATTAGATTTGTGATTATTATTTTTTAAAAGTTCAATATTCACTGCCACTCTATTTTTGACGGAAGCCGTGACAAGCAGCACAGAGCAGATGACTGGGGCAGGAAGTCAGACATAGAACGGCGGAGAGAATCCGGTCAATTTTCAAAATAAAACGCCGTGTGCAGACTCTCGGTCGTATATATCAGCAATAAACACAGTTAAAACAACTTAACAACGTAGCATACTTAACCATAGTAGAAGCACAAAAAGCAAGAACAACTGAACAAAATCTGAACAAGTCAGCAAAATCAGGCAGGCAAAACGCTCTTATGTGTGATGTGTAGCCTGCACAGAGCGGAACGAAACACGCTCACTGAGAGCTGTTGACCATAGTTGAAGCACAAGAAAGGACAAATTAACAACACGTCAACCATAGGTGTCGCTACCTGTGCCCCTGTATCCATGTGCTGTGCCCCAATAAAATTGTCAAGACCCCTTGGCCCTTGACCCCTTGGAGACAGTGATTATCCGTCTCTCAGTGAAGGTTACAACTCTGGACTAATGCAAGATGGAAACTAGAGGATTCACATTGACTATTAAAATGTTGATTAGTGGGGCAGACTGGGCAATATGGACGTAGATCTCTCAGTAAATAATATAACAATAACATTCAGTTAAGTCATAGTATAAATTAGGGCTGGACAATAATGTAATAACAATAATTATTGCGACATCATTTTCCTCTAACAATATATATATGTAACAAATGTGCAATAAATATTTAATAAATCTATCGCCGATAACTATTATTTACAGGGGCTATGCTTAAATTTGTCAGTAAAGTAGATGCTGGATCATAAGCCAGTAATAGCACAGTTGATCCAAATTAAGCACCTGCCAAGACCCAGTCTAGACGTCTTTAGCAGGTCACACAGACCCAGGTGAAACACAGGCAGCCTCAGCCAGTACGAGCACAGCCAGAGATGTGCAGCCAGCAGCAGTCTTAACAGACTTTATGAGAATTTTTCTAGAAGAGCCTATTACAGAGACAGAGCGGTAGAGCACTGCAGTGTCAGGTGTGACTGTGCAGCAGTGGCAAATTGTTTACATGGCTCACAAGTCAGGTGGCAGGGCAATGTCAGAATTCTTCTTAGGTGGTGACAGGAATGTGTCCTTATGCTCCGGTTAAAGCCCTTTCTGACATGACAGCACCAGTATTAATGGGCTAAGCAAGGGAAGCTGGTAAAGCACATACTAACACTACACTTCAATCAAATTTACATGGGTGATGAGGGGCCCCTGATGTCAACAACGTAGGGCAGGCTAAACGCTCCGCTGCTGAAACACTTAAGTGTGAGTTGACGCTGAACAAAACTGCGGCACAGCCGCTGCCTGTGTCTGTTCAGCTGAAGCCATTATTCGACGTTGTCCTTCGTTTGTTGTAAAATGTACACGCCCTGTGCCCGCTGTGATTGGTGAGTAGTACCCATAGGAGGCGCATGGCACGTGTGATTGGCTAGCAGGTTTGTCACACAAGGACGAAACAGAATGAATTTTTAACTGCATGACTGTTTAAAACGGGTCAGATGCGCTGCATGATTAACCTACATTTTAATCTCCATCTTTACGATTAGCTAATCGCGTTCTTTCAAATCGCGATTTCGATTTGAAAGCGGTTAATCGTTCAGCCCTACTTGTTAGCAGTTTATTTAGTCACTAACTACAGCTAAAGGTAGCTGCCGCTAGCTAGTTAGCCGGCAGCTAGCTGTCCCATTAGCTGGCTCTGCCCGTACTAGAAGCTTGGTGCTCCGGGTTTACACCTCTATTGTTAGGACAGAAGCTTTGGACCGCTGGGAGCGCCAATTTCAAGCAGAGCCAGCTGAGTTAGCAGTAGCTAGCGGCTAAAGTAACTGCTAACAACGAGTAAAGTTATCTGTCCATCAGGAAAATCTGTATATCACAGATAGTTGAGGCAGAGCAGGACATCAGAGGGAGAACTACAAAACATTTAACTTTCTGAGAGACAGACTGAAAAATCTGCAGCTTTATCTCGATGGAATGATCTCTTGGTGTTGTGTTGGACGGCGGGGCTGAGAGCAGCGAATTCAGTGTGTGTTCAGTAGGCGGGGTCATCCACTTAATGTAAATTTCTTAATTTATTTTACTAATATGCTTCAATGTTAAACAAATAGTGAAATATGTGTTTAAGATCTTTTTGATTGACAGTGAACATCAGTGATTTGTCTTAGTCAGCAAAAATGTCAAACATTCTCTAATATCTTTATTGATAATGGAAATAATGGTTGGTTGAAGCTTTTACTTACAGCCACTGTTCTGTGCTATAAACCCCACTGATTTCCTACTCTTGTACTTGTAGAAGGTTTTATTTTTACAGTCTTGTTGCGTCTTGTTCTGCATATTACAGCATTGAACATAATAGTCTCATTTATCGTTAGTCAGATCAGCTGTAAACGAGCCTGAAAGTCCCTCCGACCAACTAACACTAACTGCATCCTCCTCTGACTTGAGTGCAGTCAACAGCAGCCTGTTAGCAGTTAGCACTTGAGACTTAAAGTGCCAACGAGCTACACAAATGACACTTCTCAGAAATGCTCACTGAACCAAGTCACGGGAGGTTGTAAGTGTGCTTTAGGAGCTTGTAAGGATCTTTTACTGGGAGTAGAAATTATGAGAGTTCAAAGCTTACAGGCTGAAACGTCATTAGTAAAGTTGATGTTAGTTGACACAAGTATCGGAAGCATTCAGCCATTTGCTTCTAATGAGGTAACTTCAGCCCACAACTGTTGTATGTCTTCTGCTCCGGCTTGTTTCTCTCCACTGCATACCATCTAGTAATACAGAATGCTCTTAAAATGAGACATCATGTTGAGCAGAAATTCCCCTCCAGTAAGCCTGTGAATGGTTCTTCTGTGCAATAATTTAGCCTCGTCTGTTGTTCACTTGTGTGTCTGCGTACAGCACGGGAGGCTGCCATGTGGGAGCTGGAAGAGCGCCATCTGCAGGAGAAGCACCAGCTGTTCAAACAGCAGCTCAAAGACCAGTACTTCATGCAGAGACACCAGCTGCTGAAGAGACATGAGAAGGTACCAGCTGGATGAGGGACTTAGCATTATTATTATAGCTCCTTTAGGTGCCGATCGGACAGAGACGCATCGCTACAGGACCGGCCCGCTTCAAAAACGCCTTAGCAAAGTATGTTGGGCAAAACAGCTGGCAGAGTTCACCCTTGCTCTACCGCCCTATTTATTGGCCACGTAAACGGAGAGATTGATCTGGCTGCTCACACAATTCCATGCATACATTCACTGATTAGTATTTGAATAATGGTGGCGGGGGGTCCTTAAATTAAATGGTTCAGAGATCACATAGACTAAACAACAAATATGTGAAATAAACTGCGTATGTGCAAAGATCTACAGTGTTTGAGAGGGAGGAGGGGAGTGTCAGTGGCGGCCCGGACCTTGTTGATGAGGCTAGCTGCAGAAGGGTAGAAACTGTTTTTGTGGCGAAAGGTTTTGGTCCTGATGGACCGCAGCCTCCTGCCAGAGGGCAGAGTCTGAAACAGTTTGTGTCCGGGGTGGGAGGAGTCAGCTGCAATCTTTCCTGCTCACCTCAGAGTCCTGGAGGCGTGAAGGTCCTAAAGTGAAGGAAGATTGCAGCCAGTCACCTTCTCTGCAGAGCGAATGATACGCTGCAGCCTGCCCTTGTCCCTGGCAGTGGCAGCAGCGTACCAGATGGTGATGATGGAGGAGGTGAGGATGGACTCAATGATGGCGGTGTAGAAGTGCACCATCATTGTCTTTGGAAGGCTGAACTTCTTCAGCTGCCGCAGGAAGTACATCCTCTGCTGGGCCTTCTTGGTGATGGAGGTGATGTTCAGCTCCCACTTGAGGTCCTGGGAGATGATGGTGCCCAGGAAGCGGAAGGAGTCCACAGTGGTGACTGGGGAGTCACTCAGGATGATGGGGGAGGGTGGGCCTGGGCTCTTCCTGAAGTCCACGACCATCTCCACTGTCTTCAGAGCGTTGAGCTCCAGACTGTTCTGGCTGCACCAGGTCACCAGATGGTCAATTTCCCACCTGTAGGCGGACTCATCCCCACCTGAGATGAGCCCAATGAGGGTGGCTATCTTCTATCTATCTATTAAGCTATCTTGGCTCAATTGTTGAGTGTCCATTGGATCAAGTAACATAATCATGATCCTATTGGCAACCAGGAACTGAGTGAAACTAAGCAAGTAGACGAGTAGACTTACTGTCACATTTACCAGAATCAAAACAGGAAGAAAGTAGTCAAGTAATAAAGCCTGTCTCTTTGATTGACCACCTGGGCCAAGTGTGATATTGACGAGTGGTGCGACTCCTCATCTTGCACTGAAAAGTAGAGAATATTTTACTTCTACTTTCTTGCACGTCTAAACTGAAAAACACAAGAGAGGAGGTCATGCTGGCCGTACCATAGGGAAACAATGGTTTTGCTGGCATCTCTGTCCGATCGGCCCCTTCCAACCTCAGAAAGACCCTTAGTTGGTTTGTTTCTGTCAAAAATGGTCTCGTCTTGTCAAATGTCAAAAATAAAGTTAGAAAAAGTTGCTGTGGAAGCTCCCTCCATGTTTCGTGTCTGCTGGCGTGTGCCCTGTACAGGAGATGGAGCAGATGCAGCGCTACAACCAGCGTCTGATTGAGGAGATGAAGAACAAGCAGACACAGGAGAGAGCCAGACTGCCGAAGATTCAGCGCAGCGAGGCCAAGACCCGCATGGCCATGTTCAAGAAGAGCCTTCGTATCACTGGGGCCGCCATCACCCCCGAGCAGGAGAGGGAGAAGGTCAAACAGGTGACACGCAATATGGAATGAAATGAACCATAATTCTTTTGGCCAGATAAAACACAGTGAGCTCAAATTTCTTAAAATAACTACCTGTGAAGCCTAATCGTGTCTGTGTTTTCCAGTTTGCAGCCCAGGAGGAGAAGAGACAGAAGAATGAGAGGCTCCATCAGCAGCAGAAACATGAAAACCAGATGAGAGACCTGCAGCTGCAGTGTGACGCCAACATCCGAGAGCTTCAGCAGATGCAGGTACAGATTTAAAAACAAACACTTTTATCACCTTCGGACACAGTAACCCTCCGTTTCTAGACACTGCTTCCCTGTGTATGTGTTTCAGAACGAGAAGTGCCACCTGCTGATTGAACATGAGACCCAGAAGCTGAAGGAATTAGACGAGGAGCACAGCCTGGAGCTGAAGGAGTGGCGGGAGAAACTACGACCCAGGAAGAAGGCACAGTATCTGTTACACCTGACCATAATATCCACCTGCAAAACATTACTTCCTTTGTTTGTTAAAAAACGCTGTCTCAGAATAATGACAGACACATTCTAGCTGATCCTTTTTATTACCTGAAGCCAGAGGCCAGGATCATGTGTTTGGTCGTGTGTGTGTGTGTGTGTGTCTGTCTCAGGGCAGGGTCTTAAAAGTATTAAAGTATTGACTTTAATAATCTCAAAATAAGTACCGTTAAAGTCACCGCCGATCTCCTTCCAGTGCTGATTCATCCTTATTTTAGCCACTTTCAGAGTTAGCTTTGTACATTCTGATCGTAGTATTTCGTAATACTATAATAGTGACTGATAACAGTTTTTCGTAAAATGGATTACGTCATACTACAATCTTCAAGTAGTCAGATCTACAACAGCGCGCTCTAGACCGTGTAGTGAGTACAAGCTCGGAAAGAAAACAAAGAACTGATTAGCTTCAGTTCAGATAGGAGCCTTTGTGACCAAAATGTGAGGCCATAAGCATCTTTTTCATTTTATGTTATGATGGTACACAGACACACACCTTACAAAGCTATTGTGTATATGAATGTGAGTAGTATTATAATATGTTATATTTGTTAGGGCTTAAAATCCATACTGATTTATATCATTATATATCCATACCATTATATCCTTCATTACTTTTCTCAGTATGACCGTGAAGTTGGCATTAAATTTCATTCTATTAAAAGTCCTAAAACGTCTTAAATTTAAGGGTGAGAACCGTGGGGGTACCCTGGTATCTGTCCGAAAGCTAATCTCTCATACTACTGGACACTGCAGCCTAATATTTTACATGCACATGCTCAAGGGCCTCTCATGGTTGCGGTGATTAATAATTTTATTCTTATTGACCGAGCCTACAGTAAATCTATCGTCTTTTCATCAATATTCCCCATTGTACGATATCAGTTTCCCATACATTGATTTATTTATACATATTGGGTTTTTATTTTTTTTATTTTTTATATACTATTTAAAATGGGTTAAATCATATGTTTGATTGCAGCGCATATTCACTCAGCGCCTCCTCTCGCTCGGCCGCTCCCTCTTTCTCTCGCATATTGACAACGGACCCGTCTGTGAATTTACATTTATTCATTTAAACTTAAAATTGCTATATATGTCAGAGGTCGCACGCCTCTGGAGCAACTAGGGGTTAAGTGTCTTGCTCAGGGACATAATGGTGGATGGGTATAGTCCAAAGGCATAATCTTATCCATTGTGCCAACGCCAACCCCAAATTGAATGTATGTATCGTGAACGCCGCTGTACCAATCTCTCCAGCACAACGCTATCAGTGTCGGAGACCCACTTTCCAAAAAGTTATCAGCAAGCATATACCAAGCCTTTCTAATAAAGATGGCGTTAGAAAACAGCTGGGATGTCGAATGTTAGCAAGCTGTACATAAATAGTCAATATCACTGCATCAAAGTGAAATGAGTGGACACAGCCCCGGCATTCAGGATCCAAAATCCACTGTTTTACTCTCATGTAGTCATATGTCACTACTGCAACAGATGGAAGTTTAACCTCCTGAGTAACCAGGCTGTTTGTCCAGCTCCTTGCCAGGTGAAGGCTGATAACACAGTTTTGTTGTTTGATCCACCAGGTGTAAAGGGACCAGATTAAACCACAGTTTAAAAATACATTAAAAAGGCTCCTCAAATATTGCTAAATGATTGTCTGAAACCAGCATGTTTCTGTGTGTATCCTGCAGGCCCTGGAGGAAGAGTTTGCCAGGAAGCTGCAGGAACAGGAAGTGTTCTTCAAGATGAGCGGAGAGTCGGAGTGCCTTAACCCCTCCACCCAGAGCCGCATCTCCAAGTTCTACCCGATCCCCACCGTCCACTCCACCGGTTTCTAGGAGAAACCTACGTACACATGCACAGACATACATACGGTGCACATGGACATGAGTGCACACGCACCGACAGTTAAGACCGAACCTGTGCTGCCTTGCCCTAATCCTCTGAAAGCTGTTGGACAGTGTGAGAAGCATTTCTGTTAATGGACTCCTCAGTCTGCAGCTCTGCCCTGCAATACTCTTACTTATTTTGCAAATTTGGTCATATTTTCAAACTACTACAGTCATTTTGAAAGAGAATTAATATTTTCAGATCCAGTGTCCAGTGGTCTTCGACTCAAAACCACTAAAGTGAAGTAGCTCTCTGTTTTCTCGCTCTCTGATCATTATTTGCTGCTCAGTTTTTCTCTCATTTAGACATTGGCACTAAAGAAAGGAAAGAATTTTTTTTTGTTTGTTTTTTGTTTTTTTTTACACACAATGTTGATGATTCAATTTGATTAAATATTAAATAGCAATCTCATAATTTTATAATAAGTGATGATAAAATTGAATTTATTTCTGATACAGGAGCCAGAGCACATTTTTAATATGAAGGAATGATCATAGAATATATCTTTACTACATTAAAAATCTCTGTTTGAATTGTAGGTTGTGTTACATCAGAGGTTCAACTAACCCGTCTAATGCATGATTTTAAAGCAAGCTTTCTTAAGTTTTTCTTACAGAAATGATTCCTTCTTTGAGGGTTTTTCTTCAGAATGCCTTTGTGTCTCGAGCATAACCTGAGATCACTATTTAGCAACAAGCATTAGTTGCTTGTTGTGTACATGGAGGTGTGGAGATGGTGTTTACATCCAGAGACAAATGATCACTGTTGGGACACTAAGGAAGTCACTGTGGTGGCAGGAAAAAAAGACTGCAACAAGCATTTATGTACCTGTATGTTTGTCAGTCTGCTTTTTCTGTTTTACGTAACACCACTTTATCATTGTCAAGCAAAACCTATGTACCTATAGGAGCATTATTCAGGGATGAATAAAGAATGCAATTTTTTCCACAAATTCTGGAAACATTTTGACAGTCTTATGACTTTCTAGCATGCTACTTTAAACAGAAATCACCTAATCTGCAGTACAGACGATGACGCGTCCTTTGTATGTGCTTTGGTTTTCTTAATATGACTCCTCATAAGGTATTTTACTACCAGATGTATCATGGGTTGGCCTGCATGGCTTTTCTTTCTTCTTTGTATTGAAATGATAATACTGTTTTTATTGTAATGCTAGCTAATAGCCTTAATAGTTCAGGAAAGCTGTACTGTACTGTACCCGCCTTTAAAGATTTCGGTTGAACTGTAGGTTTTGTGCCACCTCGCCAACTTAATGTTCTGTTCTGACTTTATGAAGGATATTAACAAATTCAGAATTATTGCATCTGTATTCAAAGTAACAAAAAAAGAACATGAACTCTTAGCAGTTTTTTATTTTTATTTAGACTGATGTATTAACGCAGTTGTAAAAACAAAATGTTCAAAAAATGGACCTGACTGGTTTAGGCCATCTTGACTTCTGATTGGTTCATTTGATCAACTTTTTTTTATGATTGGCTATTGAGAGTTATGGTTAGTCAGAGGTATTTAATAACTGAACTGTAGAAAATGCAATGAAGGAGTGCTGTGCACCTTTTTACAAAACTTTCTCAGTAGCTATTTATATAAAAACATCTCCCAAGCTACAGCATCTGTACTGTAGCTTATTAATTGCAGTTTGCAGTGTGCATCAGTCAGTTCTTGTTCTGTTGGTCAGTGAGATTCTTCAAAAAGTCAGTAAATTGATTTAATTCTGAATGTTGAATGAAAATGATATCCATATCAAAATCGTTATGCATTTAAAAAAAAAAATAAATGTATAGTTTTTAGATTACCTGTGTAAAGTAGATTTTGATTTTTGCTGTAAATAAACATTTTTCTCTGTTCTACAGTTGTTTTGTCTCTGATGTGATTCCAGCTACTAATACATTTGTTATGAAAAGTTATGAAAAAACACTTGTCGGATTAGAAAATGCCAGCGAGTATGAGAGGGTAAGAGAAGGCAACTCTTACCCTTTCACCCCTTAGTACAGTGTATGACACAAGGTAAATTTCACAAAGACAACTCTGCACAGGAGAGGTTCAGGAATATAAAAAAACAATCAAATCATTAAAAAAAACCCAGATACATTGTGGGTTTCCGTAAATTTACCACCTTTTTACACACCAGGCAAACTCCACGTGAAACAGGATTTCACACGCAGGCCCACATATTCAGTAACTTGGCTGTTAAACACCAGTGTCCCTCCTCCTCCTCTTAGTCATCAGTGTGAATTCTGAAAAAACAACACAGAGGATGCTTAATTGAGAAGCCAAGTAGAGCTTTTGCATTTAGTCATAAGTTTGCCACTCATGTCATTGACCAAATTAACTAATCTTTATCTGAACCCCCAACTGATCGGGGTTTAATGGATACAATTTTTGAAAGTCTAGTCTTCATACACAGTGGGAATTTTTAGAGAATCCCTAGTTAATCTTATTACCTTAGTTCAAATAAAAATGCTATTGTGTGTATGCAAAGTGGTTCAGTGGCCAGTTTTTCCTACAGAATGTTATAAGGAGTTTCCTCCCAAACATGTTGTTTGATAACAGCTCAGATTCATTGAACTTCCACCAATCCTCCATCAGGAGTCAATATCCCTACTTGTGAAAAAAGCTCCTGATACCGCACCAAGTCTCCAAATGTCGACGTTTGGATTATGTCTATTTTGCTTACTATTATTTCCTCAGACCAAACAGGCTTTATTAAAAATACACATTTTCTTTTAATAATAAGGTGCATATTGAATATACTTTACATATCATCTTCGTCACAGTGGTATCTCTGTTCTTGGACTCTGAGAAAGCATTCGATAGGGCTTCCTGTTCCTGTATACACACTCATCTTACTTTCCTCTTGAGCGTGGGAGAAGACAGGTGTGCCCTCCATTCCCATTGCTTTTTGTATTGGTTACAGAGTCACTGTCAACCTCAGTTCAGCACTGTACAGGTAATAAGGGGATTTTAAGAGTGAACCAGGACCGCACAATCTCATTGTATGCGGACGATGTCCTTCTTTATGTATCTGATCCTCTCTTATCCATTCTGCATATTCTCCACACTTAAAGAAATTGGTAGATTGCTATAAACTCGACCTTGATAAAAATCACCTCTTACCCATAACAACTACTGCCAGCCAAATTGTTTTTCATTTTCTACCATTTAGAATTACAAACAATACATTTGGTTATCTTTGTATATCTGTTACAAAATCTGATTCTCAACTACTAAAGGTCAATTTTACTTGTGGATCGTACCTGACTGGATCTTATTTGCTGGTCCGCTATGCTCTTCTCACTAGCCAGACAAATTAATATAATTATTAGTCTTCCAAAGTTTTTGTATTTTTTTCAGTGCATTCCATACTTCCTCCCAAAGCCTTAAATCTTGATAGCCATATTCATGATTTATTTGGAATAGTAAAAGCTTGGATCTGGAAATTTTTTTTACAGAGGCCAAATGTGCATGGTGAAACTTTCAACTTTATTACTAGGCAGCAAACATCAAAAGCTTATTAAATTTGTTCCGTGATACATCCTCCTTCAACATTGCTGCTTCTTTACTAATTTAATCTAGGTCTTGTTTATTTACACTTATTGTTTCTGAAAATAATATTATAGGGTTCATTTAAAAAATGTTGGTTATGATGCAGCAGCGATGATCTAATTATGAATTATCCTGCAATGACATTTTAAGCCTCGTTTAAAGAATTAAAAAATCCAGGCCTGTGTCAAATTGACAACCATCAAATCTGCCAACCTTACCTCTGTCACCTTTTTCACCCTTGTGTCCCTCTGGACCAGGAAGGCCTTGTTCACCTGTGTCCACACATAGAGAGAAGACTGCTTTAAAATTTGGGACATTAAGAACCAATACCAGTCACTGTAAAGTAAAGTACAGTAAACTCATTGTAGACTGACACTATAAACCAATGATACAACATTAGATGGAAAAAAGATATTACACTAAAATATTGTAGCCTATAGACAAAAAGTTTCCTTTATGGCATGAAGAAACATGGCAACATGTTTACTGTCATCATTAAATCTGAAGTATAAAAGTACTTAAACAGTACAATCCACTAGATTTCTCATTCCAAACTCCACCTTTTTCTTTAAAGATTTTAAGATCTACCTCTTTCTCCTTTCAGCCCTGGGAATCCCATGTCCCCTTTCTGTCCTGGTCTCCCAGGTGGTCCTACAATGTCTCCATGTGCTGTGGAGGACAAATTCACTTGTTGTTAGAAATCCTAATTCTCACATCTTTCAGCTACTTTATCTTTTTTCTTTTCACTCGTAACATTTGCAAAGTAAACGCTACTTTTACTTTTGATGTATTCCACTAAATCAGTGATGTTTGTGTGGGAACCAAACAATCGGCTATATCCGGGAGGACCTGGAGGGCCGGGTGGTCCCTGTGGTCCTTGAATGATGCGTTCCTCATGGTTCCGTTGGATTTCACGTAGCAGACCATGAGCTGGAAAATAAGAGAAGTTAGTGTCAACCATCACCTCTACCCATTAGGTTTCATTGTAGATTTTGATCTGTGATGTGGAACATCGTAGAACAATTGCTCACATTTAATGTATTCCAATAAATCTGTGGTGTTTCCATGGGACCCAGACCATTGTCTGTATCCAGATGGACCTGGGGGGCCTGGCGGTCCTGGAGGTCCTTGGAAGACACGACTGTTGTACTCCCTCATAATGTCGTGTAAGACACCGTGGGCTGCAAATGAGAGAACACTGTGATGCAAGTAAATGCTTTTATGCAAACCCCAAAAAATAATCAAAATTTTCAGACTGGAAGAAAATTATACTGTATCATGAGCAAAAATGCATTAGCATTTAGCATCAATAGCAATGAGGGTTTCAACTTAAGCATTAAAGACTGTCATTCTTCTTTGTGATACATTTACAGCCTGTCATCATAGGGGTTTTTACCCAATGGCAGCACTCCAACCATTAAAGCTTATACGACTTACATTTGATGTATTCCACCACATCCACGACATGTTCGGGGGAGCTAAACCATCGGCTGTGTCCAGGCATTCCTGGAAGTCCAGGCGGCCCTGGAGGTCCTTGAACAACTCGATCAGAGTCTCTCACAACATCACGGAGTAGACCGTGGGCTGCATGTGGAGGACAGTCATGTAAGAGTAGGACATATAATATTGACAGCAAGGTTCAGAGAGAGAAAACCTGTCATTTGCGATGTGGTACATAACAAACTTCCTCTAGATCACCTACATTTGATGTAATCGGTTACTTTGACAGCCATACTGGAGTAGTCTCCGGTCTCCAGGCTCCAGTCTCTGGCGCCAGACACACCTGGCTCACCCTTGTATCCTGGGGGTCCAGGAGGGCCTGGAGGACCTGGAAGTCCAAACATAGCTGCTCTCGAACTGTCCCCTGGAGACAATAAAACGTAACATGTCTTCAGAAGAAGTAACAACTTAGTTGACCATGGGTCATATTTGTAATGCAGACATGATGCAGACAGATTGTTGAAGTGACATTTTTGTGAATGTCAATGTCAGGATTGTGTCTCAAAGTAATATTTTTGTATGGATGTGACAGTAAGCCTCATGCATGTCGAGGGTTTTTTGTCTACAACACAATGCCACCTTGTATGCAAGGGCGTCACTTTGTGATGAAAAGTGGTGGGGACGTAGGGGCTCAGATTAGTGTTGTGAAGAGACTCTTAGCTCGCGAGACATCACGATACGCGATATTAGGTTCACGAGAATGAGACGAGTGTTTTAAAGATATCCTTAATGCCGAGATATATAAGTGGGGGGGCATCCCCCAGGAAATTTTGATCTTTTAACAGTTAATTTCCTCCCTTCTGGTGATATTTTCTGCACCAGTTTCTGGTGGAAATATTTTTATTTATGAAAACAAAAACACAAAATTCAGGTAGGACTTCAGGTAGGATTTCAAAATATATAAATCTAACAGATCAACTTTTCTTATGTAATATCATCCCTGCTGAGGCAACACATATTTATGATTTAGTCTTAGCCTCCTTTTTTTATCCTGTTCACAGGTAGTGAATGTAAAATTTGGCCAAAAAGAAACTGTGTCAAGAAGTTGTTAAAGTTGCTGACTGATGCATGGATGTTTTGGGGTCATTTTAAATTAGTATTTTTCTTAGCTTAAGTTACTATTTTTGGACATTGCACATTTGTTTCTTCTATATTTTAATTGCATTTCAGAATGTTTCTTTAACAATTTATACTTTAAAACGTGGTGGGGACAAAGTCAGCCATTTCAAAAAGTGGTGGGGACATGTACCCAAGCATCCCCAGTGTAAATAACACCTATGCTTGTATGTAGTAACGTTTCCCCCAAACCATACCATAATTGTTAAACCATGCCCTTAAACAATTAGCCATCCAACATCCAAGTATTCCTTTAAGCTCACTCTTTCTGTATTCTTGTCGTTCTGCTTTGAGCGTCTCTCTGTTGGAATGCTCAGCATTGGAAACCACTCCGCCGATTTGACCAGGAGGGCCCTCGGGTCCAGAAGCACCAGGGGTTCCTGGTGGGCCGCTGAAGGAAACACCTTTGGGAAGACAATGGAACAGATGTGGAGGCAGCAAAATGTATAAAAGTATTTCCTCAGAATTCCTCATGAACTTATGAAGCTAATGATTTCAGTCAATCTCACTTTGCAGGTAGTCGCGGATGTCTGAACTGATGTAGTTCCCAAATCCTGGTGGGCCAGGTACACCTGCTGGTCCAGGTGGGCCTTGTGGTCCAGGGATACCCGGGGGACCAGGTGGCCCCTGAGGACCCACAAGTGCTTGATACCCAGCTAGTTGACAATGAAAATTACCATCTGTTAGCAT